TATTTTAACATTATGTCTTCGACGTGCGCAGCGCGAGTTGTATTTCCCGCGGACTCAGCATCGCGCTCTGCGCCGCTTTTCCAACCAATGGTGGCTCCAGGGTTTGAAACAAGTGATGCGGAGACACGGGCGCGACAGGGTTCAGCGAAGTATTCAGGAAAACTGTTATATTTTACCGTTTGGATTGACAGAGAAGGGAAACGTCGGTATCAGCCGCATGGTATCGATGGGATGCCAAGAACTACAGTAATGTTGTCGCCCGTAAATTTATGCGTCTGGATGCTGACAAGCCAGCTTTTTTGTCTCTATATTTATTTTTTTTTTTTTGCCTTTTTCCCTTTTAGTTTTCTTTATTTTTTTTTTTGACTTTTTCTTTTCCCGTCTTTCTTTACTTTGTTTTCTCCTTTGCTTTCTTTTTTTCATTTTTTTTGTTGTAAATTTATGCGTCTGGATGCTGACAAGCCAGCTTCCTTACATGAGCCCTGGAGAACTTTGGACTGCCGTCTCAGCTATGGAAGCTGAGCGGCTACAGACGGCTGTACGCGATGCACTCAGGATTATTTACAACGCTTGCAATTGACGGGAGTATCCGATTTCGTCAATCTGGATGCTGATACGTTGCGGCTGAGTTCAGAGACATAGTTGGCCACTGGGCGCGAATGCGAGCATGCGCTCTGCACTTAAAGACAGCATGACGGAACGCGCTCGGCGCAGAGACACCTTCGCCAGAACACAGAACGCGCTCGGCGCCGAACATTGCATGTTCGGCAAAACTATCAGTTGCAGCAGGTACCCTCAGGTTCCTCCTCACTGGATCTGCAAAGACGGATGCCGTGGCATGGCGTTATTTCGAGACGGGTGTCAAAGCAGTTCGAACCGACGGCTTGGACGAACGTCGTTCCTACTCGTCTCTTTGATTTTTGCCGTTGCGTTTTGCTCTGCGCGCAGGTCAGTCCTTCGCGGCGCGAGAAAGAGAGAGAGAGAGAGAGAGAGAGAGAGAGAGAGAGAGATAGAGAGAGAGAGAGGGAAGCGGACCGAATGATGCGACGTCCGTGCCAGGAAGTTGCATCATGTTTGTCTAGAATTTGCCGTCGCAGCAATGGCACAAGCACATCGCCCGAAGCTCAAGATTCCCTGCGGCGAGAGATTGTCCTGCTTCTCTCCTCCTCCTCATCCTTTTCCTGCTTCTCCTTCTCCTCCTTCTCCTTTACATCCTGCCCTTCCTTCCCCCCTCTCCGTCTTCGCTCGCGGCTAGAAGGCAGCGCCGGCGAGCAGCGTCGCGGCAACGCAGGGCATAGAGAAGATGCCCGAACCAAGGGGGGCGCGCGGATCGAGCGGGGCCCAGACCAAGGAAGGGGGGAGGAACAAATGGAGGAATACGAGGGAAGGAAAAGGAAGAGAAAATAAATGAGGAGGAGAAGAACGCGCATGAGGGGCAGAAGCAATTGAGGAACGAGGAGGGAGCGGCGGAGGAGAAGGAAGGGAACTAAGGAAACGGAGGCAAGAGTCGGATTCTCTTTCTCTCTCTCTCATTCTTCTCTTCCGTCTAGCGCATGGGCCCGTGTGCAGAAGAATCAACGCGTCGGCCAGTAGCGTATTTTTAAGTATGGAGGCAATGGCAGAAATCGTCGCGCATCGACAAAATGAAACTCTGCTTTGGCGTGGGAACTTCCGATGAAGCAATAGAAACCAACTTCCTCCCGCCTCTTGCCTTCCGCCGCCTCCCTTCCTCTCTTTCTGCGCCCACTTGGTGCTGCTGCGCCGGGCGCACGCTGGCCTCAGCCGCTTCCTTGCCCAACATTGCCAGATGTTTCAGGCCGTTGTGGTTCTCCGCGGCCCGCCTGGAGTCGGCGCAGTGTTTTCGGCGAGGTTCGGCTTTCTCCTGGCCGCTTCTTGTTATCTGCTTCTGGCGCGTGCCTGGCGCCTGCGCGCTTCTTGTTATCTCCTCCTAAGCAGTGGCGGTACCTCGCCTGTCCGCTGTTTCCGTGACATGTGGTTGGTTCCGCACAGTTCACGGGGGGGCACGTTTTGTCCGCCAATGGCGTTGCGTGCAGCTGACGGCGAGTGGATCTTGGCTGGAGGGTTCTCTGTGGTTCCTTCCCTTCCTTTCCACTCCTCCCCCTAAATATGCCCCGGGAAAGAAAAAGAAACCAAGCGCGTTGAGACAGCGCCAAAGTGGCGCCCTCCTGCACCTCCTCACATGGACGCGCTTCGCATATCACTCCTCGCTTGCAGGCCGTCGTTTGGCTGGTTAAACTCTGCGGAAATATAATTTTCCAACGACGCCAAAGTGACATCTAGCTTTGGCGCATGAGCTTCCTGGCAATCCCAAGGCTGTAACCAATGAGGATGAAGAAACGCTTTTGGTTTCGACACTCGCTCGGCTCGCCAAATGGAAACAGCGGATGCTGGGTGTGATGGGATTGAGCTGTGTTTTCCATACCTTATCCTCTACGAATGTGATGCTTTGCCGATTCCGACAAGCAGTGCTTTACAACAACAGCTGCAAACATGCAACCTAAGTCGTTGTTCGGCTCAAGAAGCGTTTGGGTAATCCCTCGACGTCGGAAAATCTATCGACGTCCATCGATCGTTGAATTCACTTACGGCGTCGATGAGCATGATATCTCATCCGTTCGATTGCAGAATTTCTGCTCTTTCCTTCGCAGGGCCCCCCGAATGGTTGCGGATGTCTTGTGTACTCATCGCAGCGGCTCATCTAAACCCGCCTTCGGACGTTGTCGTGAGCAGGCTTCTCCTTCAGAACATGGCAGATGTCAATCAGAGGGAAACTGGCGGGCGTTCTGCAATTCATCATGCTGCGCAGTGCTTAGAATCAAACCTTGCTGTGCTGTTGCTCCAGTTTCGAGCAGATGTCAACGGCGTTGACGAACAAGGCGCGGGGCCGATACATTGCGCGATAAAGAGTGGCGGGGACGAGGTCGTCTCGCTTCTTTTAGACGCTAACGCAATAAACTTGGATTCTCAGATATTTCATGATCCCATGACGTTTCGTAGCCGGTCGAATGCTTTGCTAATGTCTGCCCAATCGAATCGCGCTGGCGTGGCGCGCATGCTGTTGAAAGCGGGCGCGCGAGGGGTAAACGCATGCAATGAAAGCGGTAGCAGCGCATTGGTGGTGGCAGCTGGGCGCCAGCATGTCGACATTCTTGGTATGTTTCTTCGCGTAAACGATGAAGATCCTGGTCTGCCTCGCTCTGGCTCCTTTGTTTCTCCGCTGGTGACTGCTTGTGACAGTGGACACTGCAAGGCTGCATCGCTTCTCTTGGATGCGAGGGCTAGCCTCGACGTTCCATGTCGGGATGGCGAGTGCCCTGTCTCAGTCTGCGCAAGAGAGGGCCACAATGCCGTCTTGCAGCTGTTGCTTCATCGCAAAGCTCGCATCCATGGCGTTTTCCATCGTCACCCATGTACTACACCTTTGTTTGCAAGGGTTTGCCTACTGCCGCCTGCGCCACTTCACTATTGTTACAGGCATCGCTGCCAGAGTAGAATGCAGAGGTGATTTATTCACTCCGATGTTGATTTGGGCAATTAAGGAAGCATTCGCCATGTTTTGCCTGCCTTAGGTTGCTGGGCCAGAAAGGCATTGGCGAACGCGAAATCTTGTCAATCTGCGTTTGTTTCCCAACCCCCTGTCGTACTTCGTGTGAAAAGACAAACACTCACACAATATTCGCCGATGTCCCTTCATTTCAACAGGCTTATACATGTGAGATTATTGGTGCAAGCTTGGTGGCTTTCGATGCCAGCGGATATTGCGCTGCGTCCTTTGGCCATGTTTCCATTGTTTCTACGTTGCTGAACATTCGGTGTGATCCTATGTCGCCAGCTGGGCGAGCTGCGCTGCAAAGCGGATCAGAGCACGGGCACAAAGAAGTTGTAGAAATATTGGAGGCTGCAAGGGCTTTGAAAGGAAACGACAGCAGTTATTCACTCTCCTCAGCGAGCGGAGACGCGCGGAGTTCAGTCGAGGACGGCGCTGCTTGAACAATCACGCGCTCGGCGCAGAAGCGCAGCGAGAGGCAGCTCCCTTTTTGTTTGCTGCAACGCTCAAGGCAACAATGCGTTCACGCCTGAAGAAATGACTTTCTAATGTTTCGAGAAACTGGGCGCGACATGGGAAAAAAAGAAAAAAAAGGAAAAAGAAAAAAAGAAAAAAGAAAAACAAAAAAAAAAAAAAGCCTTCTTACCTCGTGCCACGCGCGATCGCAAGCAGTGCGATGCAAAGCGATGCTCGTGTATGCGCCGGTGTTGTACAGCATTCGCTGATGCCAGTATTGGGCTTTGATTAATGCGCTGCCTGAGATATCGATCGGCGGCCCAGACCCCGCGCGCTCTGCGCAGTGCTAGGTGCGCTTTCGCTTTTGTTTTTTGGAACGGAGGCGCCGCGCTTGGCGGGGGCGGCGAGAACTGGATGGCATATGTTTCGCGCTCGGCGCCTGGCAAGTGTCCGCTCGGAATAGCAGAAGCCGCTCGCCCATCCGTTCACCGTGCTAGGAAGCATTCCACTTGCGCGCCAGCAATGCTTCTGATATATCTGTCGCGCTCGGCGCTGGCCTTGCAAACGTCGCCTTCGCAGAGCTTTGTCTTCTAATCATCCTGAGCTCGGATGGCAGCTCCGCGCTTCCATCCTCCTCTCTTTCAGATTTCCTCGAAGTTGAACAATCGATGAACACCGCGCGATGTAATTCAACTTTTCCAACGTCTTCAAATGAAGCAGAACAACTTATTCAAAAGCTTCTTCATCTCTTCGACATCGCATCTTCGGTGTTCCGATGTGCATCCATTTCTTTCGTTTCCTTGTGTGCTATTGCGCGTCTGTAGTGTGTCAGGCTCAAACAAATATATGCGCTGGTCTAAGAATCGTATCTTTCGAAACTCTCGACGGGCGCCTCGCCCAGTCGGTTCCAGCGCGATCCAAATCGCGATTTAATTGGCGATGGCAGGAGATATGCATATTGTTCTTCGCCTGACAGATGGCAGCGTCACGAGTTCCTGCCGCAATGCAGCTGGCGAGTGCAATGTCCCAGCTGCTCGCGAAGGTGCGAAATATACCCAGGTGGCATCTGGAGAATCAGATGCGGTTCTCCCCAAAGACGATGGAACCGTCGTGGCCTGCGGCGAATCCAAATATCGCATTCCTACTTTGCAGGCAGGTCTCTGGTATACGCGGGTCTCCGCCGGATGGCGCCACGCCGCTCTTCTGAGGAGCGGCGGCGTAGTTTCGGTTATTAGATCGAACGATTGCAACCAGCTCGACCTGCCAAGTCTGGCACGCGGGCGCGAAGTTGTGGATATAGCCTGCGGCGCGTGGCATACTGTCGCCATCGTCGACGACGGATCCGCTATAGCATGGGGGAAACAAGACGACTCGGCTTGCAATTTGCCGCACTTATCGCCTGGAAGGTCATATGTTCAAGCGTCAGCTGGGCTGTTCCACGCTCTTCTATTGAAAGACGACGGCGAAGCCGTGGGGTGTGGCGAACCAGACAAGGATGATAATCAACGCGAGGTTCCAGATTTGCCTCCTGGTACGCGTTATACGCACGTCTGCGCGGGAGGAGAACATTCGTTGTTCCTTCGAAGCGATGGGCAGGCGTTAGCAACTGGCAAGAATGCTTTTGGTCAGCGCGACATTCCTAGTCTTCCCAAATCTGTGCATTACATTGGGTGCTCGGGCGGTGGGCAACACTCCGTTTTATTCAGGAGTGATGGATGCGTCGTCGCATTTGGATCCAACAAATTCGGCCAATGCGATATTCCAGTTGCGCCGTCTGGCCCGAAATATGATCGCATTCTACTGGTTAACATTCTGGTTGTGCAAGTTGTGTTCGTTGGCGGGGAAGTGGTGCGTTTCGCTAGGTTGAATGGCGACGAACATTACACGTGTCGCGTGCCCTGCATTTGTGATATACACAAGGCTTTGCAACTGTGGCGGCGGCTCGGCTATTTCGGTATAACTGTCACACAAATATGCGGAGTTTTCCCAGATGGGCGCCGCACCACAGAAGTATTAAACAGTGACACGTCTACAAGCGAGGCGTTCGCAATTCAGCGCATGCGTCGGTATCGCGTTGCCAACGCGAAGCTATCGAGGCACGCCTCAATTGCACTGTGCTGGAGAGCTCGTAGAACGACGTGTTCAAAGTGAGATGTTTCCAGGCAAAAGCTAAGTCGGACTGATGCGAAAGAACAGTATCACAAGTGGTAGTAATACGCATATTCTATGGAAAGCTGCGTCGAGTTTTTCGTTCCCGCGGGCGTAGTCGAAGGAAACGCGCTCGGCGCTGAGTGGACCATGATCTTTCGATCGAACGTGAGGATTATATTGAGCTCAAGCATTCCGACGTCTTTTGGGATACAGGAATACGCCAAAGCATTAGAATCACCCATCGTTCTCGACGCTCGCCGAGCGGCTTGCCATGTGTCGAAACAGAACTAATTCATCATTTCGCGCTCGGCGCAGGAGTCAAAGTGGCGTTCGTTGCAGAAGGGAAGATGCACGTCGCGCTCGGCGCTGAGTTCCTCTTCTTCCGCACCTGCACTGCCGGCGCCGCGCGTCCTTGCGTCGGGTTTCAAAATGACGCAACTGCGTCTCCATGATGCTGAGTCTCCGCTCCGGGCATGCGAATATCATCGCGTCGATCGAATGAACGGTGTCCTCTTCTCTTATCCATTCACCATCCTGCCTATCCCGCTCATTTTGTTGATCGAATCAAAGTTGTCCTTTCGTTTTTCCATTCGCCATCCTGCCTATCCCGTCGACTGTCTCATAATCGGCTGCAGCAGGATTGACGACGACGCTCGTGCCAAGTCGAATGACAGAAATATAACTAAAACCCCAAACAGGTTCGAACGCTTTCGCTTTGCACACTCTGTCCCAATTTTCCGTCACCTGCCTCTCTCCAGAACAAGGAATGTTGCTGGGAACGTTGATGGGCATGACAAAATCATGGCGATTCTGCTCAAGTGTGCTTGCGCAAGCGATTGGTGCCCAAAGCGTCTCTCAGCCTGTCACCCGCATCTCTTTCCAGCTGCAAATAGAATTTTTTCCGTCGGTGCATTTGGAAGAGGATATCTGGCGAAACATCCTCGCGTTCACATCGCCGCCATAGTGGTTGCGGTTCTGTGCTGATAAACGTTCTCAGCAGGATCAGTCGCACATGATTGAACGTCTACTCGTTGGTATGTTCAATTGCAAATACAGATTTATTTTTGACGTTGCGCTTCTGATCCGTCGTCAATTTTTTCGTTCTGTAGCCGAGCGGGTTCAAGCGCTTCATACCAGACCCGCCACTCGTCATCCATCGACTGGGATTTGCCAAAACTAGGCTAGCTCGCTCGCTCGCAGCGATCATCCACCAGTGGTTTCGAGCTTCCGCTGCGGTTTCAGATCGCGAGGAAGCATGCCTCGCAACGGAGTGAGTTTGAATGGCGATGGGCGCCCGCTCAGAGAGGCGCCAGAAGGCAGAGGCCTTCCGGAAAGAGTGCGGGCGATGACAGGTCAACGGTAACTAGGGAACTTCCTACGCACGGCGACGGCGCATGTGGCATTCATGCGCTCGTCGGAGGAACAACTCGAGCAGGTGAGCTGCGACATCGGAAACCCAGAGATTTCTTACGACGAACGTTCGGCGAGACCGCAGAGGAATTGCGCAGAAAGTGTAGGAACGTGCAAGTTGTGGACGATGTCATCAATTGGGTGTGGAAGCAGGTCATTAAGCCGCAGGCGCAGAAACACGCAAATTTGACTGATCGAGTTCTTGAAATGATGTACGAAGAAACGAAGGTGTGGAAGAAAGTTAAGAAACATAATGTCGCCCTCGATGCGTGCGTGAGCGCTGTAAAGCTGGAGTGCAACGCCCTGTCCGTATTCACGGAGAAACGCGAAGCAGTGGCATTGGCGCTCAGAATTTTATGTCAGGATGAAATGAAAGAGGTTTTTCTGCGTCCGCTGCTTGTTCACATGGATATACTTGATGATTACGATCGTGTCAACGATGGTGGGTACCGTAAGATTGATATTGTTGGCGCCGACAGTGACCTCGGACAGCGTTACCGACGTGGCATCATTGAGTATTCTGGTGCTTCTAACATGGATGTTTTTTTGAGGCACCTGGAGGCAACTGTGAACGACTTGCAGGATGCGGATGTGGATAAGGCATTTGGCGCTGGAGTTGGACGCTTTGTTGACCTTGTGAGAGAGGCCCGCGCAAGTGCACCTGTCGTCGACGCGGGCGAATCTGTTTTGTCTCGAGAACCGTTCCAGGACTTCCTCTCCATTGTGTATCCGTGCTACTAGGACACTTTAAGTTCGGAGAGATATTTTTTTGAGTGATTTAGAGCTCCTCTTATTATGTGAGTGCGGACAGATCAACGCAGTCATCGCGCGAACTGTTAGCAATGAGCAGGATTCCGATGACGTGGTTTTCGAGGTGCACAAGTACGCATTGCCTGCTGAAAACAAGCCAGATATCATACTGATTGCTATAAGAGCTGACAGAGGAAGATCTGCTGTGCGGGCGCATTATGAACGATTGGAACGCCTGACGAGAACAATTCCGCCCTCGCAATTTCTGCCGCAGACATCCTCAAAGTCGGCGCCAGGGTCTGGGCAAAATATTGGAACAGACTGCAACAATCTGGTGGCGCCTATCGTGTCCGACTTCTCGCGCTCGGCACCTGCCAGTACGTCCCCGCGCTCGGCGCAGCTAACGTTTGCAGCAACAAGTTGTTTGCAAGAGTCTGTCGGAAACAACGGTGTCGCAGGCCAGCCGACAGCTACAAAAGCGGTGCCTCCAGCGCCGGCCCCGCACCCTGAAGAGAGGCCTGAACGCGGACGACGCTCTACCAGACTAGGCCAAACCAGACCAATCATCTCGATGGAACAATGTTCTGACGGGAATTGCCGATCAGACCACGCAGTCGCGCAAGCGTCTGCAGAGAAGCGGGCGAATACGGGAGCGTCGATCCCAGGCGAGGGCGGAGCGGGCGCTCCGGCGAGCTTTGCACCAAGCTCGGGAGGGGGGCCCATCTTGCAACAAGAAAGCGGCGCGAAGCCACCCAGCCTCCCCTTTGACGTGATGGAATTATTCGGGTGCGCTGGCGTTTCCGCTGGGGCCCGCGACGGATCGATGGCCCAGTCAGCGGGGGTAGAAGCCGCGCCGCCCGGCTCGGGCTCTAGCGAGAGTGCCAGCGAAGCGTCGGAGAGCGACGAAGAGGAAGCGGAAGAAGGCGAAGATGAGATGTACTTTTCCGTTCGTGCTCTCAGCGCGCCGCCAGCAGGATGGCCTCCGACTGAAATGGATGTAATTTCAAGCCGGTGCAGAGAACTCAGAAAACTGTTGCGGCGGCGACCAACTTTGCCCTTGAGCGTCGAAGGGGTGGAGCTTACTGCGGCGGACCTGAGCGCTGGGATGCGCTTGCCATTGTACTCTTGCCCTTACAAGAACAGCAAGAAAGGCCAGTGCAATTTCCACACGAGCGATCGCACAGCGTTCGTACATCACATTGCAGGAGGCGCCATCGATCGCACGCACAAGGCAGAAATCTCCGAGATTTGCACAGACGACATTAGATGGATGGATAATGCTACATACGTGTCCGAAGCTATAGCCTTCGCAGAAAGAGAGAGATGGCCGCTTCTTGGTTTGTCAGTCACGCGGCGTTCCTTGAATCTCCTGGTTCGCAGATACAACGACGAAGCAATACAGTGTCTCGTTTGTTTTATCTGTGCTCAACAGCGCACGACGTGCGCAGGATTTCCGGCGGTGGATCTGGAGAACAGCCAGGCGAACCATTCTTTGCCATTCCATTCCGAGATTCGCTTTTACGCGCAGGCAGATCCGCCAGGCTTCGCCTTGTGCCGCTGGCCCCCTCTCTCGGAGACTGTGCTATGCAAGAGCTATGTCGTCAGGATTATGCGCTGATGCAATAAACGCGACGGAAGAACGCCCCCTCGCAGTCTGTGAGACCTCCGCCAGGCGGGGCCTAGTAACCAGGGCTTTCTTCAGCACTCCGCACTCGCCGTAACAGTGGAAGGTGGAGCCTTCAACTGGTGGGTGGAGCATCATGCTCGAGCCTGCGCTTGGGCATCCCCAAACGGAGGTCGGCGGATCTCTGCGCAGTGGAAACAGATTTCCCAGGTACTCTCCTGAACAATTGCAGCTACATTTTGTGGAAAAGACGATATTACGGCATCGGCCCGGAAGACCGACGCAGCAATATTTACCCGTGGAGGAACAAAGAGCTCATCGAAGATCGGCCGCTGGAAGAGCACATGGATCATCGGGAACGGCACGTCTCTGGCTGGGCCATCCAAATGGCGTACAAGGAACGCGTCGGCACGCTGTTCGGTTGCACGGAAGACATTCGCTGCCGAGCAAAGACCGATCGCCACGTCAACGATTTTACCACCGAGCCTTTTTATAGGAAGCTTTGTGGAGACTGCGAATTGCCAGTTTGCCAGGACTGCTGGAAAAACTACATCATCACGGCGGCAAGTCTCCATTTCGAGACGGCGGGACGATTCCCATGAGCATCAGCAATGACCATTACTTCGGCCATGTGCAGCGATATCTTGTCGAGAAAGATGGTACGTGGTTGGAATGCGCTGCCTGCTGCACTGTCTGGAGCACGACGCTTGTCTACTACCTGGAAGCTCCCTTTGGCAACCTCATCGACGTGCCCCTGGGGAAGCCAGAGGGCAGAACGCAAGTGAAGGGGAACCTGTTCAGCTTTTCCATGCCGTGGGAAGACATAGAGAAGTGCTGTCGGCAAGCGAGTAAGCATGCAAACAGTATCGGGCCGAAGAACTTGCAGATGCTGCAGGAAGAATTGGGCTTGCCGCGCAGCGAAGAAATTCTCGCCATGCTGGTCAACGTGCATATCGTGGGAGGGAGCAAAGATCTTGCGTTGCATCTCCAAGGCTTGACCCTGCGCATTGACGTGCTGGAAGAGTTGATCAATATCATGCGGGACACCGGATACCCTGGGTACGACATGGATGGCATTAATTCCGAGTCCAGGGTGGGCGCACGTCTGCGCGAGCGATACAAGCAGAAGTACCCAGACAAGTGCGGGACTGTTCGGTTCATCCCGAAGGCGGTGGAGGACGCTGTTCGGCAGTTGAAGGGCGCCACAGAATCGATCGTGCAGGACAAAGTTGCAACCCCTCCCGAGGCACCCAAGAACACGCCGGAGTGGGAAATGACGTCGAGGCCACATCATATCGTTCCTGAGCGAAGCAGTCGCAGCCAGGCCAACATCCACGAGAACTACAAGCACATTTTCAACAAGTTCGGAGATCTGCAGATTACAGCTGGCACTGAGATGACTGACCAGTTCAACGCGTGGTATTTAGGCATGGCGTTCCCCTACACCCTGCCCTGCGCGGTCGGCGGCTACGACGTTCCACATCGGCCTCGCTGGCGCAGGCCGGAAGACAAAGACCTCCCACAGCACGAGGAACGACAAGTTCTGAAAGAGATGTGGTCGCCTTTGGAATCGCGCTCGGCGCGGAACAAGCTCCCTTATGAATGCTCAACCGTGGGGCCAGCGTGTGTCGTGAAACTCCGGGACCTTGTCCGCGGGCTGCCGCAGCGCATCGAGGGTCAGTTCCGCCGCCATTGGGGATTCACGCCAGCATTGTGGAATTTGTTCTTCAGAGAGTGCGTCAATCTAGGAGCGAGCCTCAGCGTCAAGACGAGCCCCCAGGATTCCAAGAGTGGCAATGTGATCGAGACAGTTGCAGCTATAGCCGCGGCAGACTTGTTCGAGAAGCTTGAGAAAGGGAAGTATATCGACCCGAAGGGAAAGGCGTGCATAATAAACAATGATGCCAGCCAGCTGCCTTTCGCTGTGAACCTGAGCCAGCTCCAACGGAAACTTCTCGCATATATGCGTTTTCGTTGTGGTGCCATCCCTGGCGCGCAAGAAATGCGGACGAAGATTGGCCACCTCGGTCGCTGGGCATGCGTGAATTATGACACCGGCATTTTCTGCGCGATTTCTTCAGGAGAGCGGCACAACTACTTGGCATTCAGACTGAGCAGATATCGCGAGGACGATCCTTTTGTTGCTCGCAAAAACAGAAGGAAGTGGGCTGGCGAAGACGCACCAAGCCTGGAGCCGACGACTGAAGACAAGTTTGAACAGTCTGGCCTGCAGTCAGATGATGCAGTCGAGTTCGTTATTCCAGGCTACGATTTGCGTCGCTTATTGCTCGCGGAAGATCCGTTGTCCGCAGCCAACGCGTTCTTCGTGCAGATTAGAACCGTTCTGGCTACGATGCTTGGCGTGCGGATGTGCCCGAATTGCCCGCACTGCTCGGAAACCCCGTGGCCTTGTCAGGATGCCCTGGGCAGTTCTGCAGAACCGATGGGAGGCATCGCTGGCCGCGTCGACGCTCTCTTCGGAGCCGTCGAAGCGCAGAAGACGACCGGCGGATTGCATTACCATGTCTTTATGTTCGTGCAGCGCCTGCACCAGCACGCCACGCTCAAGGAGATTGCCGAAAAGCTCGAGGAAGGGCTGGTGCAGGCGGACGATTTGAAACATTTCCTCGGGGAAATTTGCTGCGAGAGCTACCCAGACGTGGAGCAGTTCAATCGCGACAGGACGTCCTTAGAAGAGAATTTCCCGACGTATTCTGAGAAGACCGAATGCTCTGGGACCGCTCCGCGCTGGGGAGAGTTCAAGTTGGGGAGAGTGCCACAGCGTCTGTACGCTGACGGGCGCGACGCTCTAAAATCTTCGACGCGCTCGGCGCAAGATGAGATGCCGCCGCCCGTCAACGCAAGCGACGGCGCGGAATTCAGGGCGTGGTTCAACAGAGCCTTCCTGTTTCCAGCTGCCTGCGGCAATTCCCGCCACCGTGCCTGTCCAGTTGTTTCGGTAGTATTTGAGCGATGGCGCGCGGAAGTCGTAACCTGTGACGCATGGTGTTTTCAGAATCGATGGTGGTGGTGTTTAATGATGGTGGCGTGGTGTTGTGGTGGTGCCGTGGTGGCGTGTTGGCGATGATGGCAGCATGATGATGGAGGAAGAAGGGGGTCCCGTGTGATGCCTGAAGCGTCAAATGAGATCCCTCTTCAGCTATCAGTTGGCACTGTTGAACCTCTACTAAAATACGGTAGCGTCCAGAGACGCTCTGTCCTGACTGGCAGAACCCTACCAGACAGACCCTGGCATTCATGCGCACCCCAACGTGCGAAGACACGGTGGTGGATTTCCAGAGTCGCTGCCAGCACTACATTCATCGTCTCGTCGTGGACCCGAAGACGAAGCAGGAGAAACGCCTGA